GGGGGAACAAACAAATTAAGTGAGATAAAACATCATACTTGAACAATTACGTCTTCAAAGCTGATCTAAGAGAATTTTTGGCAGGAATTAGAATCATAGAGATGGAGAGACCTTTAAAGATAAGTCCAATTCTCTCTTTGTACAGATGAGAAACTGAGCTTAATGTCCAGAGCCTGCAAGGGACAGAGGGAGCTTAGAATCTGGGTCTTCTTAACTGAGCACAGATTAAACCTCCACGATTAGATGCATAAATGCCAATAGTAAAGGGATAAATTATTATGTCCTTTCCAGTACCAAATTTTATAATTTTGACTTAAATAGTAACCTCATCAAGGAAATGTGCTTTTGTCATTTTGTACCATTCTGTGTTTGTGTTATCAGAAAGGATCTGTGGTTGTTAAAATCAGGAATGGGGAACTTCTTGTATTCTTTATATGGACTCTGGTAGCATAGTGCCTAAGGCATTTGACTGCTAACCAGAAGGCTGGAGATTCAAATCCACCAGCCACTCCTCGGAAGGAAGGTTGGGCAATCCTACTTCTGTAATGATACTGCCTTGGAAACCCAAGGAGGGGTTGCTATGAGTCGGGGCCAACTCGATGGCAAACAACAACAACAACATCCCAGTATATAGGAGCTCTGGTAGCGTAGTGCCTAAGGTACTTGACTGCTAACCAGAAGGCTAGCAGTTCAAACCCACCAGCCACTCCTCGGAAGGAAGGTTGGGCAATCTACTTCCGCTGTGACACTGTCTAGGAAACCCAAGGAGGGGTCGCTATGAGTTGGATCCGACTCAACAGCACATAACAACAACAACAACATCCCAATATATGAAAAAAAAAAAAAAGAAAGTTACATACAAAAAGCCACAACATTAAGTTATATATTTATGTCTTTGAAATTCATAAACATCTATTGCTTATGCAAAAAGTACTGCTTTAGCCTCCATAGGATGTATAGCTAAGTGTGACACATTTCTGAAGATGGTGGTCACTCAGACTGGTGAGAATCAGACACACACACACACACACACACACACATCAGATGGAAAGCATGATGGAGTGCTAGGGTGAAATACAAACTCATTTTACGAAATATTTGAAAGGTATATTTTGACTGGAGAATCAAATAGGTTTGAGAGAAAGAATTTTAGAAAGAGAACATTTTCATAGCTTGATACAATCACTCAATGGAAAAAGATTGAAAGTACAGAAGAGGAAGGAGTTGACAGAGCAAGGCTGATGATAGAGGAGGCGGAGAGGGGAAGATGAAATCAAAGACACAGGTAAAGAAAGAGGTGAAGTCTTGAAGAGTTCTTTTTCCCTCTGAAACAGAAGGATAAGAACAGGAAGAGTTAGCTCAACTGTGAGGTTTAGGGAGAAAAATTGAGGTACCATTCGGGGAGCTCTTACTTTTTGTTAAGGTGAAGGGACCAGAGGTGGGTGAGGGGTCTGAACAGAGGCAGAACAGCTCTGGTTCACATGATCAGAGTTCTAATAATGGAGAGTAAATGAATATCTAGCAACATCAAGGGGCCATGTAAACCTTGTGAAATTGATCAGTTTCCTTGCTTGTTTATTCCCTTATTTACTAATTTTAACTAAAATTTTAAAATAAATACCAGTGGTATGAGTTTGTTTGTTTTCATTTCCCTTAAGGAAACATTGTTTTGTCAAAAAATCTGTGGAAGATTTGGAGTCAGGCTGTACCCTCTCTTTGAAAGGCTCTCTTCTGTCTAAAAAGAACTAGTGAACGAGTGTATGCTATACAATGATCATTTTAGCATTGTCTTTTTCTGTTATTACTAACATGAATTTTCCATGCATTTGAGTTAGTCTTTAAGTCTGAAATAAAATTTGCTCAGATTACTGAGATAATCATTTTTTAAAAAAATTGTGCTTTAGGTACAAGTTTACAGAGCAGAGTTTGTTTTACATTCAACATTTTGTGTACATTTAGTTTCACTCCCCACTTACCATCCCCAATCCTAACCCAATCTCCTCCCCTCCCTGCCCAGTACTCGCCCCCCCCCATGGTTATGCACTCCTGTGTGTCCTGCATTTCCTCTGTGTAAATATTGCCCCTCTGGTGCCCCATGGTTGATTGCTCCAAGGGATACATTTCCATAGAGTATGTGGGTGCATCACCCTGGGTTGAGTGGTCTGCATGTGCATCTTGTTTACTGTTGGGCTGAGAACCAGATCTAGGAGTGAGTTTTATTTTAGGCCCGAAATGTATCCCGGGGCCATAGTATTGGGAGGTCTCACCAGACTCCATCTAGCCATTAATTCTGGTCATTATTGTGTTTTTGGATTTTGTTCCACATTTTTCCTTCCACTCTATCCAGGATCCTGAGATAATCTTTTTTTTTTTTTTTTTAAACTAGAGTTGGACAAGTTATAACCATCAAAGCAAAAGTTACTAGAGCATTCAGCACAAGCATGGAGGTAAGAGACACCCTTTCCCTACTTACCTATTAGTGCTTATCTCTTCATGCAGAGGATGAAACCTAATGCTTGGAATCTATGAGATTAAAATTTTATAAGGCCCTCGAATCTGTAGTGAGGCTCACAGACAAATAATAAGAATCTATGATCCCCAGCCAACTCCGGTACAAAATGTAATGAAATATAATGCAATATTCTTTACACTGTATGGAGGAACATACAGAAAGTAAACATAAAAGAGAGATGGGCACTATCTTCATTCTTTGTGAGATACGGGTTTTCTTCCTCAATTATCCTGACTTGGTGGCAACTGAAAGAACAATAATTATTCTAGCTCTACTTGTTCTTCTTCCTCTCATCTCCCAATGGACACTGGCTTCAGATTAACTAGCTTATTAAGTAACTGATCTTCAGTAAGAAAATAAGTTTAGAAGATTTTTCTTCTGCATCCACTTGACATAAGTTTCTTTACCATAGTTATGAATAAAACGTTGTCTGGTGATTTTGGAGCTTCAATCCAAAATAAGCAAGAAGAGAGTTGTTGGATGTCATATTGCAGTTTCTGAATTGTTTCATAGTAATCCCTTTGATGTTGGGCACACAAGTCTTGTAAGGACTGATTTGGCAATAACCACATCTATTACTTTACTGAAGGAGTTTTGGTGGTGTAGTGCCTAAGGCATTTGATTGCTAACCAGAGGTTGGCAGTTCAAACCCATGAGCCAGTCCACAGAAGGAAAACTGGGCAATCTACTTCCTAAAGACTTACCACCTCGGAAACCCAAAGGGAGTTGCTATGAGTCGGAATCAACTCGATGGCAGTGAGTTTGGTTTTTATTACATTACTGAATTAGTCCATTTCTCCAAGTGTGGTAGTTAAGTTGTGTGTCAAGTTGGCTGGGCCTGGTTTTGAGTGGCTGGGAGCTGAATATAGTTATTCCCTATGATGGGACTGGTAATCAACTCCGTGGTGGAATCTGCCACGAACAACTGAGTAGCTGCCTTAGGGATGTTGTCTGCTTTCAGTATATAAGAAGAAGCATTGAGAAAGGTCTCTGCAGCTTTTTGACACACTTGGACCTTGGATGTAACCAAGTCTTCATTTAGCAGCCTGCCATATTTACTGCCAATTGATCTGTGACATTTTATTAGTCAACCTTGGACTCTTTAGCTTCAGCAGTCAGCAGTTGCCTGAGTTAAGAGACACCTCTAGCTCCAGTGGGCTGGGAACAACAGGCAGAGCTGAAGCCCAAGGTTGAGAGGCTTTCATTCAGCCCCTAGAGCTTGGCACTTTGGTCTCGGACATCTAGCCTCCAAAACCGTAAGAGAATAAACTCCTGTTTGTTAAACCTACCCATTTGTGGTATTTCCTGTTAGAGCAGTACTAGAGATAATCAAAACACCCAGTATCCAAGTAGAACAAAAACACTTAGAGAAATCGGAAGGGAAATGCTGTGAAAAGCTCAGCTTTATTAGCAACAGTTGTGATGGTACCCCAAACCCTGATTTTCCAACTGTTTGGGGTTGTGTGACCTTTGCCACACAAGAGCCTCAATGCTTGGCCTCTCTTCTGAGGGACACACATCCTCCTTTATATTCAGCCTAAATAAAGTCCTTTTTCTCTTTTTCCTCCTATTCCCTGAGACAGGCTAGAATTTCTAAAGGTACTTTGACTAAAATCTAAGGAGGAAAAAAAACAACAAAACAGTGAGTTTGCAGAGCACAGATTTCTGAGTCTAAGGAAAGTAACCTCTAGCCTCAATTGACTTACTCAGCCCAATCTGCCATGCATCCATCCCATGTGAATCATGACCAAGTGTCCTCTCAGCTTTGACTTACTTTGTACCACTATCTAAATTTCCTGCTTTGTTTCTAATTCTGGATGCTTTATACTTTTACTCTTTAAAACTGGACCTATCCTTTAGGGTCATTTCATTCAATTTCAGTTTTCTGTCATGGACTAAAGCCAGCCCTCTGCTCCCTTGTTGAGCAAGAATAAATGGCTGGCTTCACCCTGAATCCAAAGAATGCAGAAGCTTTTCTCTATTTCAATTTGACCTCCAAGGATTCTCTGATTCCTCTGTTAATAGGTCTCTTCCCTCCTCTAGAGGTCTCTAGGTGGCAGAAATAGTTTGCACTCGACTATTAAGCTATAAGCTAGAGGTTGGGGTTCAAACTCATCTAGTAGCACTGGGGAAGACAGGTCTGGTGTTCATCTTCCATAAAGATCTCTACCTATGTATTTATATGTGCTGCAAATTATATCCATGAATGTAGTAGAGCATACAGGCGACAAAATTATGAAAATATCTTAGTCATAATCAAATGCCTTGATAGAATGAATTGCTGGGTATGAAGGTTCAGGAACATAGTCTCTGAGGACACTAAGGTCATTGGCATAACCTAGTCCACAAAGACAGTCTTCTACATCCTACTTTGGTGAGTAGTGACTGGAGTATTAAAAGCTTGTGAGTGGCCATCTAAGGCACAACTATTGGTCTCTCCATGTCTAGAGCAATGAGAATGAAGACACAGGAAACAATTAGTCCAAAGGACCAATGGAACACCTCCATGACCCTGAGACCAGAAGAACTAGATGGTGGTTGGCTACCCCAGCTGACTGTTCTGAAATGGATCACAATAAGAGGTCCTGGATAGAGGAGGGGGAAATGTGGAACAAAACTCAAAATCATAAAAAATACCAGACTTACTGGTCTAATGAAGACTGGTAGAACTCCCGAGACTATGGCCCTTAGCTAGGAACTGAACTTAACCCCCATGACTCAACTGTCAGGTAAATGATAGGCCTATATGGTGAATATCAGGAAGATATGCATTCATTACAACAATCAAGCAGATGATATGAAGAAGATAGCATTTGCCCAGGGATAGAGCTAAGAAGATGGGAGGGGAAGGGAAGGAAGAATGAAGGGAAGAGATGAGTATAAAGAGGGAGTGGAAAGAATGTTTTTACAGTGTGGAATTGCAGTAAATGTCAAAAAATAGAATGGGTATGGATTGTTGAATGGAAGACCAATTTTCTCTATAAACTTTCACCCAAATCACAATTTAAAAAAAAAAGGATTACAACCAAGAAAATTCAATGGCACAGTTCTATTCTGTAACACATGGGGTTACCATGAGTAAGAATCAACTCAGGGACAACTAATAACAAGCAGATGTCTGATGAACCACCACTCGTCTGTCAGTTTGTTGTACTGTGGTGGCTTGCATGTTGTGTGAGGTTAGAGGTTATTCCATCAGTATTTAAAATATCAGCAGGGTCACCCATGGTGGACAGGTTTCAGCAGAGTTTCCAGACTAAGACAGACAGAGAAGAAGGAAGGGGCCATCCACTTCTCAAAAAATTGGCAAGTGAAAATCTACAAATAGCAGGGAAACACTGTCTGATATATGATGGGAAACTTTTATTAATAGCCCTGAAACATTGTGTGATATAGTACCAGAAGATGAGCCTCTCAGGTTGAAAATCAGCTGGGGAAGAGGTGCCTTCTCAAAGTAAATTGGGCCTTAATGACGTGGTTGGTGTAAATCACTCAGGACCTCCATTTGCTGATGGGGCACGACTCAAAATATGAAGAAACAGCTGCAAACATCCATTAATAATTGGGACATGGAATGTAAAATGTTTGAGTCTAGAAAAATTAGAAGTTGTTAAAAATTAAAGAACGATATTGTAGGCATTAGGAAGCTGAAATGGACTGCTATTGGCCATTTTGAATCAGACAATCATATGGTCTACTATGCTGGGAATGACAAATTGAAGATGAATAACATTACATTCATCTTCACAAAGAATGTTTCAAGATCTACCCTGAAATGCAATGAGTCATTGATGAGATAATATCCATTCACCTACAAGGAAGACCAGTTAATACTATTATTATTAAAATTTACATACCAACCACTAAAGCCAAAGATGAAGAAATTGAAGATTTTTACCAACTTCTGCAGTCTGAAATGATCAAAAACGCAGTCAAGATGTATTGACGATTACTGGTAATTGGAAGGTGAAAGTTAAAAATGAAGAAGGATCATCGGTAGTTGGAAAATGTGGCCTTGGTGATAGAATGATGCCGGAAATTGCATGATAGAATTTTACAAAACCAATGACTTGTTCATTACAAATACCCTTTTATCAATAATATAAATGTCAGGTATACATATGGACCTCACCAGATGGAATACACAGGAATCCGATTGACTACATCTGTGGAAAGAGGTGATAGAGAAGCTCAATATCATCTGTCAAAGCAAGGCCAGGAGCTGACTGTGGAACAGACTGTCAATTGTTCATATGCAAGTTCAAGCTGAAGCTGAAGAAAATTAAAACAAGTCCATGAGAGCCAAGATATATCCTTGATGATATCCCACCTGAATTTAAAGATCATCTAAAGAATAGATTTGATGCATTGAACACCAATGACTGAAAGCCAGATGATTTGTGGGATGACATCAAGAACATCATCCATGAAGAAAGCAAAAGGTCACTAAAAAGACAGGAAAGGAAGAGAAGACCAAAATGAATGTAAGAGAGTCTCTGAAATTTGCTCTTGAATGGAGAGAAGCTAAAGCAAATGGAAGAAATGACAAAATAAAAGAGCTAAACAGAAGATTTCAAAGAGCAGCTCAAGAAGACAAAGTCAATTATTATAATGAAGTGTGCAAAGACCTGGAGTTGGAAAACCAAAAGAGAAAAACATACTTGGTGTTTCTCAAGCTGAAAGAACTGAAGAAAAAATTTAAACCTCTAGTTGCAGTATTGAAAGATTCTATGGGCAAAACATTGAATGATGCAGGAAGCATCAAAAGAAGATAGAAGGAATACACAGAGTCACTGTACCAAAAAGAAGTGGTCAATTTTCCTCCATTTCAGGAGGTGGCATATGTTCAATAACCAGTGGTATTGAAGGAAGAAGTCCAAACTGCACTGAAGGAATTGGTGAAAAACAAGGCTCCAGGAATTGAGGGTATACCCACTGAGATATTTCAACAAATGGATACAGCATTGGAGACACTTGCTCATTTATGTCAGGAAATTTGGAAGCCAGCTAGCTGGCCAATTGACTGGATGAGATCCATATTTATGCCCATTCCAAAGAAAGATGATCCAACAGAATGTGGAAATTATCAAACAGTACCATTACTATCACACACAAGTAAAATTTTTCTGAAGACAATTCAAAAACAGTTGCAGCAGTATATTGACAGGGAATTTCCAGAAATGCAAACTGGATTCAGAAGAGGATGTGAAAAGAGGGATATCATTGCTGATGTCAGATGGATGATCTTGGCTGAAAGCAAAGAATACCAGAAAGATATTTACTTGTGTTTTATTGACTATGCAAAGGCACTTGACTGTGTGGGTCATAACAAATTATGGATAACATTGAGAAGAATGGGAATTCTAGAACACTTAATTGTGCTCACAAGCAAGCTGTATATAGACTAGGAGGCATGAAACTAGGAGGCATGTAGCATAGACTAGCTGGCGTGTAACAACAACAACAACAATATTGGAATTATAAAATTCTCGTTACAAATTTTCTAAAATCTGAATACAAAACTGTAAGTATATTGTTGTTGCTGTTAGGTGTCCTTGAATTGATTTCAGCTCAGAGTGACCCATGTGACAATAAAACTTCCCCATAGAGCTTTCTTGGCTGCAATCTTTATGGAAGCAAATCACCAAGTCTTTTTCACTTGGAGCCTCCTGGAGGATTCAAACCTCTGGTCTTTCATTAGCAGCCAAGCACTTAACCATTTGTACCCCCAGGGATCCAATAGTATGCAGTATGACGATTATGTGTGTGTGTACGTGTGTGTCTGTGAATATACAAATACATATTTTGTCTTTCAGAAAAGGAAAATTCACCTAAAGGTTAATAATTATGTCTGAGTGGTAGGATGATTACTGATAATATTTACTCTGAATAATCTGGTTCCATTTTTATCACTACCTATTTTTATATTTTTGTGGAAAGTATATTTTCTATAATCAGAAAAATAGTAATTTGTTCAATTTTATAGAATATCATTGAAAGAACAGTACAGTAAAATGTTGGTTTCATTTTTAAAATGAAAGAAAAGAACAATATAGTGAATAACTAAATTTTGGATGCTAAAATCAATTATGTTATCCATGTGGCTAAGAGTGTATTTACTTCTTTTTGTTTTTATTTTAGATCAGTATCAAGGTCAAAGTACAGGACATGTTCACTGGCATCGAGAAACTTGTTAGTGTGGCTTTCTCTACATTTGTAGCCAAACCAGTTGGAAAAGAAAAGGTAAATTATCTGTGTGAAGAGGTATTTAGTATGTAATTCAGGGACATACTAACAATTGCATCAAATTTATTATGGAAAAAAAAAATTTCTTCTTATCAGAAGATGTACCTTCCTGAGATTTTTTCTTAAAAGTTAACATTCTGTGGTATTCCGTAATGTTACTGCCTCGGAAACCCAAGGAGGGGTCGCTATGAGTCAGGGCCGACTCGAGGGCAAATAACAACAACAAACAACAACATTGCAGCACTGTGAGCTCTCTATTTTAAAGAAGATAATATGTAGCCAATTATGAAAGTGGGAAAAATTTTTTGTTTTAAGTAATCTGAAGGTCATATCAGGTTCTCAAAAATAATTGCTTGCTGGTTTTAGTTCTCTTTTTGTGGTTATATAACTTAAAATTGACTTGTTTTTAAAAAAATAAAAAACACATGTTATGGTCCAATCATATTTTTTTATACTTGAAGGAAAATGTCAGAGTTCCTGAGTTAATGAAGTATAATTCAAGGTATATGGGGTAAAAACACCCTTAAAAGAAACACTTGGCCTAATGTATGTGCCCCATAAGCTTGCCTGGCAGTAAGCCCAGATCAGGTTTCTCTTGGCTGCTGGGGATTTACTCATTATAATCTCTTGACATTCCTGGTTAGGGGCAAGGGGCCTGTGGCTGGGAAGGGTCCCATTGGGTTTAAACATTTTTTTGAATGTAAGAATTCTTTTAGAATTGAAATCTTCTACTCCAAGGCTCCTCTCAGAGGTAAGCACAGTGGCTTCTTCTAGCTTCACTTTGACTCTGACTGCCTCCATCTGAAGAGCTGGGAGAAAGCAATGTTTCCATTGTATCCAACAGAGGTGACAGCAGAGCCTCTTTCACACTGGTGTTCGTCCCTCCGTCCAGGCAGTGAGAGATGGGCTAGGACTGAGTTAGCTTACCATGGTGCTGTGGTGGTAGGTATTCCTGCAGAGTTTTGTATACTGGGGCACTACTTGCACTGTTTGCTCAGCATTTAATAGGCTCCAAGGTAAGTTCATATTGCCCATGGTCAATGTTTCTCAAACTAAAGTTCATAGATGTCAGCTAGTATGTTATTAAAACTCCAGCTTTCTGAGCTACACCCCAGACCTATGACGGAATTAGAATCACTTGTGTAGAAGCTCAGAATCCATACTTGGACAGAATACCTCAAGGAGTGTTGTATATACTAAGATCTAAGCCAATGAGATAGTTCTTAGTAACCATTCTGCTTTTTTGGAATTTCCCTGGATTCCCTAGTAATCTCCAAACTGAATGATAGGATATAGGGATGGGTTCCAAGTTTCCACGTCAGAGAGAAATATCTGAGAGAAACTAACAAAATGGAGTAGCAACTAGCTATCCCATGACTTCACATGGAGGAGGAAGGAAGGTCATCATTTTCCCCCACTAGCCTTAGACCACTCTGACTTCAGGGACTGGTGAGTAAAAATGCAAGAGTCACACTTCTGTCATATCTGGGCTGAGCCTGAAGAATTATTTTTCTAAAGCGTTTCTGGGAAGTCAGGTACCCTACAATGTTGCCCTAAGGGGTTGGTTCAGCTAACTTCAATTGTAAAGCAGCTTTCCCAGATGAACTTACTGGCAACATTCTTATTCAGTAGCACATCATGAAAAGAACAATGAAAAATCAGTGATTCGGTTTGAGCCTATAAACCTACCTGGATCGCTGGCCAAAGTGAGTTTATCCCAGGATGAAATTGGCAATGATTAACTAGGTTTACGTCAACAATTGCCCAGGGTCAGATAATTGAAAGGACTCACAAGACTCCATCGGATATACTATATAAGCCTTTAGTGAAGCTACAGTAGGAAAAAGAAAGTGCAGGCAAACATCAGAGAGGTTCAAGACTCCCAGGCATAGCATAGCACTCAAGGTCATTTCAGTCATACAAGATGCACTTTGTCTGTGGATTATGAACTACCAAGATATATGTGAGGTATCTTGGTTACAGGAGAGCCAAGGTACAAAGTTACCAAGGGGTGCCTTATACCCCACTGGTGACATAAGTAAAACCAGGCTGTGTAAACAGTTAAATCAGTAAAAACCATCAATCTATATACATTCCTAAAGAATTTTGGGAGCTCTGGTAGCATAGTGCCTAAGGCACATGACTGCTAACCAGAAGGCTGGCAGTTCAAATCCACCAGCCACTTCTTAGAAGGAAGGTTGGTCAATCTACTTCTGTAGTGATACTGCCTCTGAAACCCAAGGAGGGGTCGCTATGAGTCAGGTCTGACTTGACTGCACATAACAACAACAACACAAAGAATTTTGGAAGCAAGGATGGTAAGACTGTCTTACTTCGGACACATCCTTAGGAAGGACCAATTGCTAAAGGGCATAATGCTTGGTAAATTAGGGGGTCAGTGAAAAAGGAGACTCCCAATGAGAAGGATTGACACCGTGACTGCAACATGGGCTCCAACATAGCAATGATTGTGGGGATGGTGCAGGACTCGGCAATGTTTTGTTCTGTTATACATAAGGTCACTGCAAATCAGAGCCAACTCAAGGACAACTAACAACAGTGCAGGGTATCTCCAGGGGAGTTGTGGGCTACAGACAGCAAAACATAAATCACCACCATTTTTCCTCCTTATCTTGGATCAGGCTTTAAGTGTCCTGGAAATCAGTGTTGAGCTTCCTGTGTACAACTGCAAGGTAACGCTTCTTAAACAGGCTAAGCAGACAAGGTGTTGATAGAGGAGCATGGGCTCTTGGTTCTGTTACACCATATTTCTATGTCTGTGGTGGAAGTTACTTAAAGCTTTATTCTGACATATTTATTCTTTCAGTTTTTTTTTATTAAATAATGCTTTCAGCGTGTGATGAAATTTCCAAATTGGGACTCTCCTGGTACATGATCAGTTTCTCTAGGAAACATCTTTATTCCCTCCTTTGATGCCATAATTTTGCAAAGGTACAAATGTTTCTTGATGAGAATTCAGCTGTCTCTCACCTCACTTATTCATTTGAAGAATTTCTTATTTGTAGTTCTGTTGGTGTTTTAGGCTAGGTCCTCTAGAGAAGTAAAATCAGTAAAGCTTATGTATATATAGGGAGTTGTTGTTGTTGTTGTTATGTGCCGTCGAGTCAGCCCTGACTCATAGCGACCCCTCCTTGGGTTTCCGAGGCAGTATCACTATGGAAGTAGGA